CTGAAATCAGATTCATTCTCTCCCACAGTGGGTTGTTGTTGATGGTCTCTTGCCCACAGATACTCGACATCTTAGCTAGACAACTGTTAATCAACACTTGTATCTTCTAGATTATGGCATTCGTGGTTCTTCAAGTTTTTTCTCCATACTGTTTCAACTGTCTTGACTGGTGTTTTGAGTTCCAGATGTGCATTAGCTGTACAAATACTTTGCTTTCTTTGCCAGTCTGCACTTTCACATCAGCAACAGATTCACTTTGTTTATCAGGGACGCCGCTCAGATGTTTAAAGGTTTCCATCTCTTCTAAGGCTTCCGCATCAATACTGTTTCGGTTATTGCGTGTTGTGTTGCATTGGATTTTGCTTTTTTCCTCAAGTATGTTGAGACCTGCTATTTCAGATGTTGCTTATAAATTGCTGTCTTCATCTGCATTTGTCACTGTTTGTGAAAAAGAAGAGCTAGATCATCTGCGAAATCTAAATCATCCGGCTGCATCAGAATCGTCTACTGTATTCTGTGCTTCCACTTAGATGTTCATTTGTTCATAATCCAGTCGATCACCTGGAGAAAGAGAAAGGGTGAGTGAGAGTAAGGGACCTGGTCGTAAATTGATATTTATTTGGAATAAGTCTGTGTATTAAGCTTATTAGTGTGCAATAATTTTCCTAGAAACTAAAAGAATAACTCTGTTGACTTCTGTCATATTTCAAAAGTGTTTACTGATGATCATCAGAAAAATCTACTATATCTTCACAAAACAACTTGTTCTTTTCCATTACTTCAACAACGTACCATTCAATTGAATATTAGTATTTTGAAGTCCCCTTAGTCTCAAATGTGGTAATGGAGTTAATTGTCACACATATACTTGTTATAATGAGAGTGTGGAGAAAATTTTTTCTGTGTTATATCTCGACAATGCAGTTCTGTGATAAGACTAGTCTTGGTGACCGAGTTTATACTATTACCGAATAGGATGCTCAAACGGTATACTGCGTACGGAGACTAGATCAGGTTTTATAAGATACTGCAAATATTGACTGGAATAGAGAACCAGAGAAAGCAATAGGTGAAACTTTAATCCACCAAATTACAAGCAGTCACCCCCACCGAGTCCGGAGTAGAAAAATCAACAATTCATTAGGCTAAGTGCCTTTTTTCGGACCCCAATAACCAGCCACATTTTCGTTCCACTATCACACAGTACTTTAGTATTATGATCGCCAGTATCAAATCAAACCGCCTTGATTTTGAAACTGAGAAAAAACCAAGGACAGGGAAAATAATATCTATTTCAAACCTCTTCGTTAAGCTACTTATAATATGAGACCACCATTATAAACTTGGTAGCACTGGACGTTTGTGTCATTCTGAAACCGGACTCATCAGCATTGCGCATCCACAACTCCTGCAAACCCAAGGATTTAAACTCAGGACCCTTGATCGTGCACACGAACGCCTAACCTCTGGACTACTGAGCCGGCATCCAACAGTGTTAATGTCCAACTTTGATCAACCCACAGTCTTGCACAACCTCATCAACTGTCTTCGGTGATCACTGTCATGTAGCGATCTCTAACCAACTCTGTCTTGCGCTCTCCTTTTCGTGTATTACTGATTTCCATTTCAGTTCTCAGCGTAATGTATTCTTTGATCTGCCTGAATCCTTTATGGGGTTGTTACCGATCATGTGACTGGATAAAGGAGGTGGGTTGAACATGGGGTTAGAAACTTTTATGCCAATTTTTTAATAAACGTATATTGTGTATTTAAACAAGAAGCAGAAAAACGAAAACAACAACCTTCCTACAAATTTGAATTATTTGAATTTCATTTTGTGCAGAAATAAATATTCACAACATTCCAACGAATCGGATTGGTCGATTTTTTTAACCAATTAAAATTTGAATAAATAAATCAAAATAAAATACCATTCAGCTTAACGGATGTCTTTCAGAATAACTTTTCATACATTCTTCTTGATAGATTGTTATGCTTGAAATAAAATTATACAATTTTAAAACATTGTTATTAAAAGTAAGTGGAATTTATTTTTTTTTGTGATATTTATTATTCTTTCTGTAATTGTATTTTTTTTCTAAGTGTAAATAAGGAATTAATTTTTGTTAAACTATCGTTAGAAGGCTCTGGAAGTTCTTAGCAGCGAACAGCTACCATCCCCTTCCCGAGATTCAAACTTAAGGGGCTTCAATCTCATGGGTCTCATGGGTGAACTGTTAACTTTTAGACCAGTGAGTAGAGGACTCCAGTGGTGTTCATGTCTAGCGTCATTTAACTGATCAAATTATAAAAACCTTCATTCATCACTTGCACTGCAAAACTGTCTAACACTTGAGACAGATTAAGCTCCACTGATTTTGAATTCTCACCTGCAATCGATTTAATCGCTTCTCGAAATGATAAGTCCACTTCATCATATCAGTAATAATATTTAAGAATCTTCACAAACCTCTACTCTGATATTAATCAATGATCACTATTCACTCACTATTTATTATCAATATTACACTAAGTATTAGTTTATATTATTTTAATACTAGAAATATTAAAATACCGGCAATTTATTTGATGCTGAATGCATTAAAAACAGATGTTTTGTTTTAAATTTAAATATTTATCAGTTTAAAAAAATTTGAATAGAGAAATGAGAAGATATATTTTGTGGGATAGTACCATTTCGTGCTTTCTCGTCAGTCACATACAAGCAACATGTTATTTGTGTAAATACAGTTTTGAAGATAAGGTCAAAATTTCTTATTTAACATGACATCCACTCACTAGAACCATGGTAAACAGAGGTCAACATACAGTTGTTTTTGAACACATAAAGTTGGACTTTTCCGACCAATTAAGATAGCTTCGAGTAGTTTCAGTGTGTGTGGGTTTTGATGATGTGTCACAATTCTAAAGGCTGATTTTGGGTCAATTTGATGACCACTCATCATTAGATGTTTTGCAATGGACGAGGCTGGGTTTCTTGATCGATTTTGAGATGACGGGCTAGGTTGATGAATCATGGATTTGATTCGCCATTTTGGAATACGTTTAAAAAAAATTAATAATTTTTTTTAAAAGTGTTAATGATGTTCAAAAATGTCAGAGTTTGTTTATTCGTTAGGTCATTTCACTTTGTATTCAATAATCAATTGTGTATGTTGATTGCTTGATGTCATTAGTCATTAGTTTTATACGAGAAAATATATGCACAGAATCTAGTTCACTTATAACCTTTCATGATTTGTTAGTTTTTAAATATGTTACACTGACTAGCTGTATTGTTAGGTAACTTCATGGTCAATAGATTAGTCAAGTGAATTATCTTTTTTTGGAGAAAAGAAAAGACGTTGTGTAGAGAGTATGCGACTGATGTACTGAAAAAATGTAAAAAAGTAAGCAGATGCGTTAACAGTTCGCTTCACTGTGTTAATGATGTTTTAAGTTGACGTTAACAATTCAACTGGACAGATTAAAAGTCTGTTCCACATATTTTGTCACTTCAGAAATATTTTTAGCATCCGAAAGAGTTAATGATCAGTGATGAGTATTCGTTACATGCAAATGTAGAATGTAGTTGTCAAAGACTACATCTCAGTAGTGATACGTGCATACAAATAGATGTGCGCGGTCACAAGTATGCTTTACGTACAAACCAAGAATGAACAGATCAAGGTCTATACTATTCATGGTACACAAATAAGCGCAGATGATTCGGTGCACAAGTGTATGTTTCGTAGATGTATAGAATGAATAGGCTGAGACGTATACATTCTGTAGAGTACATATAAGTATAGACGAAATCATCACTGGTGTTAGTCTAGCGGTATTAAAACACTCAATGAGTAACAAATAACCTAACGGACCGATTGAGAGATCATGGAACAATTCTCTTCTCACTATACAATGCGTTTCTTCATAACGATTCATATTTAAACAGAGTTCGAGACTAGCGTGATCTTTATCTTGATATTCACGTTTTCTTACGGAAAAATGTCTTCATTAATCAAGAAGCACAGTCAAAACAAATGAGTCAGAATTTATTCAAAATATGACTTACTAACGTAAGTGTTATCTGCAAAGAAGCCAAGACCAAAAAATAAATGTATCATTGGAGAAATCACAGTTTGTTAAGGAAAAATGCGCTTATAGTCTTCAAAGACATATTTGTACTCCAATCAACTAATTAACTGTTTCCTCTGACATCTCATATATTCTTCAAAAACTCTGATCACGTCTCAAACTTCCATCTTCTGTGACTCATTTTTCTGGCAATGAATTTAAGACTGCTCTACAGTATATTATTTATAAATCTTTTGTAAGTGGCAACCATTACACAACGAGTAATCAATAGCAATGTTTACAGCTTTATTGTCATTTTTGAATTGAGATCATCAATCGATCATTGTCAGACCGCCATCCTTTGTTCGCGAGAATCGAACCAGGACTTACGGTTTCGTGCACCTACGCTGAAATGATAGACCACTGAGTCGGCATTCAACGGTTTTCGTGTCCAACTTAGGTCAGTCTAAGGATTTTAAGGAATCTCACCCCTTGTTTTCGGTAGTTACTGCCTACATCTGACAGAGCTGAACTCCACCGGTCACTAGAAAAGTCAGCATCTTTTAAATAAATCATTATTGTAAATATTTTCTTTTTATTCACCTGATCACTTGTTTTTTTCCTTATTATCTATTTTGTTATTAGTGAAATAATTCAAACAAAATTGTGAATATACAATTTTTGACATGTATGAATTAGTTTTAAATCATTCTATCTTACATTAATTTCAATTAATGATTACAAAACGTCATTTGCATATTAATCTAACTAAAGAATCTCATTCTGACTGAAACAATAAAACAACAATAACCTCATCAATTGAATTATTTAAACAAAACCCATCATTGTACATTGAAATCAAAATTGAATTTTGACAAATTATTCAATCCATGTATAATTATTGTACGGATTTAAACAAAACCATGGAATCTGTATCGAATATGAATTATTTTCATGATATAACAAATAGAAATCATAAAGTTTATTTATCACCTAACAATACTACTACTAATACTACTAATAATAATCTCAATACTATTCCCACAGTTTCATTAACATCGAATTCCACAAAAGATCAACATGATTACAAATCAACTTATTACAACACTAATAATACACAATCGAATTCATTACAATGTCAAAAACATACTGAACAAATTTATTATCGATGTAAATTACTCACCCTATGTAATTGTTTGATAACAATTTTATTGATTAGTTTAGGCATTGGTTTATATTATCGTTATCATCAATGTCATATTCGATTAGGTGTGATTGAACAACAATTGATGGAAAATGTTGTGGATAATGATGCAAGTGATCATGATCAAGCGACATTATCATTGATATCAAGTACTTCGAATGATGAAATGAGTAGTAGCAGTAGTAGTAGCAGTAGTAGTAGTAGTAATAATAACAATAATCCTAATCAGTATTCAACAACAAAACCTTCATTAATAAAAGGAATAAAAAATAATAATAAATTATGGCCTTCATTGAATGTAAGTTTAAAATGATTTATTTGTATAATTCACTTAATATTTATTTACACTGAAGAAGTGACTTGTATATTATTAAGTGACGAAACATTGAAATGACAAATTTCTACTCATTTTTTGGAAAATTTTGTTTTATCTGTTAGATACCCCCGCCCCGCGATGGATGTTATTGATTGATGAAAACCTTACTTAACCTTAGGTTTCATGTTAGTTGGTACATTACAGTGGAATTCATTTAAAAAGCTCGATAGAATTAATGTTTGCATTACGGGGTAATGAAGATTGTTAAGTTACACATTTTTTGAATTGATCAATGTTAGACCACCATTAGAAACCTGGAAGCACTGGACGGCCGTTTCGTCCTGGTATGGGACTCCTCAGTAAAGCGCATCCACGAATTCTGCACCCCGCAGGATTCGAAGAGGCTCAGTGGTCTAACGGTTAGGGCGTTCGCGCACAACACCGAAGATCCTGGGTTCGAATCCTGCGGGGTGCAGGAGTCGTGGATGCACACTGCTGAGGAGTCCCATACCAGGACGAAACGGCCGTCCAGTGCTTCTTCCAGGTTTCTAATGGTGGTTTAACATTGATCGATTCATGGTTTCAGAAGAACTAATGTTCACAACAAGGTATTTGAATGCTTGTCACCAAATTTTATAGTTTGAGACTTTATTACGGGGGTGTTTGAAATGAGGGTGGCCGCATTTTAGTCTAAGATGTTTTTTAATAAATTGATCACTGAATAATAATTGGACATCATTTCGTAACATGATCATTAGTCTGTATTGACTTACCTAACGAGTTAGTTTCACTAACAAATAACACCTCAACAGACAGTAAGTAATATCAATTTCTGTGAAATTATCTTTGTAACTTGGTACCATAAAGGATTTAATCAGTACAGAGACCGGTTGGATGATCATAAAGTCGTTCACTAATCAATCAATGATCAATCAAATGTTTTATTAAACCCACATTGTGTGGTAGAATGAAGTGACATTTTCAAAAGTGATAGCAAATGAAATTTAATCAATGCGTTTGTAAACATGAATGTTTTATTTGTTGATACTTAACAGAAGATGTCCTCCACAAGATGCACTTTAGATTGACAGAAAATCTATAGATTTAGGTAGCTGTTGTAACAGTAATAATAATAATAATAATAGTTAGAAAACAGTATAATTCATGATATACATTTCAATTTGTCTGTTAGTACTAGAAAAACTGTATTTTCATTGAAATCATGAACTGATCATTGTTAGACCATCATTGAAAATCTGCAACTACTGAACAGTCATTTTGTTTTCGTGTCGAGCTTCATATGAATGCATATCAACGACATTGCGAGTGAGAATCGAAACCCAATAGAGATTATGATGAGTTTGATTCTCGCTTACACGGTCATAGACAGACACTCATAAAAAGTTGCATACTAGAACAAAAAGGGTCGTCTAGTGCTTTCAGATTTTCAATGTTAGCCTAACACTGCTCAGTTCAACCTTTTTGCTGACATGAAGAAGTGACTGAATGAAAATACATTTGTTGATGTTTACTATGATACTAGGATTTAAAAAGAAAGAGGTTGAATTTGAATCACAGTAAAAACCTTAACAGTAATACTCAGACATTTCGAATAAACACAACTTCCTTGGACTATGCTATTTACCAAATGGTTGTAAACTCAAATATCAGTGTTGATGGCCATTATGTTATCAGACATTAATAAAATCGATTAGTTCGAAATGTCAGCGTTGATAAAGTTGAAACATTTACATATCTTGATGATGTTTCATCGTGTTTCAACAAATCAAAGTACAATGAACGTAATCAATCATTAAGTAAATATCATATCTTTGATGAAAGTATAAATCCGTCTACTTACCAAATGACGAGTTTATGAAATATGCCTACGAAGAAAAGAGGATATTCATAGATTTCTAGTATGCAATCAAAACTAACTTTGAAGCATAGCTCACATATCCTGTGACCATCGAGTAATGGGGTTCAGAACAGAGTACTAAGTAAAGAGGATAAATCAAATGACTAAGTAGCGAATGTTTATCAACTAAAACGGTTGGTTTTTGAGTTACATTTATCCAACCAACATCTACCTCAACTGGCAATTTCGACTGATGTAGGAAGAGAAGACTGGGAGAGAGCTAGAGGCGGCTAAACCAAAAACATGACCTCAGTACATAAAGTCATTGAAAACTGGACCGAGCTAATGTTAACAGGTGCAGACTTCCTGGTTTTGGTCGGCGTGACAGACGCAACTGGCGGTTAGAAAATGTGAATGATACAGTTCAAAATCATTCACAGTAGCGTAAATCCATCCATTCTTTGTCTTTCCCCATATTCTAAGAACCAGAATCCCTCATCTTTTTTCTTTGTTTTTAAATTTAACTCATTGATTTTAATTTTTTTGAATGTTATCTTCGATTTAAAAATAATTTCAATTACAACTGATACTATTACTACTTCTACTACTCTAGAATTTAGTCTGATAATTTCATCTTTCTGCTCTAATGAAGTACAACAATTTGAACTGATGTAAGTACACGTGATAGTGAAGCAATCATTGTTAGACCACCATTGGAAACCTACAAGCACTGAACGGTCCTTTCATCATAGTGCGTATCGATCGAATCCAGGATCATCGATCTAGCACGCAAACGCCTAACCTCTAGAACACTTACTCGGCATTCAAAGGTGTTCATATCTTAGCTTGATCAATCTAAGGATTTCGCACAGCCTCAACCATCGTGCTCGGGGGGTGATTGTCTCATACACAACACGCACAGTTGGATTTTACTGGTCATCACTTCTCATTAGATCCCACTCTTCCTTTCTTGATCTTCCCCCATCTTCTGCTGCCAGACATTACGTTTTCACTCATGTTATATACTATTTATAAGCAGCGCGCACCACACCTGATTTATTTCAAAAAGCCTAAAATACATATTTATTTTTTGAAAAAGATTAACCTAAACATTTTTGAAGTAAATAATCATTTACTTTTTTTGAACATGATCATACTTCACTTTTAAATGGTTTATGCACTTTTGTAATTGACATAGATTTAAACAATTTTTCTTTTAAAAAAATATATTAATTATATGAGGAATTAGAATCCCCTATTCAAGGCAGTATTAAAATGTATTACATAACTCAGTAATGGGACATTCCCTTGAGTATGATTAGTATCAAATGTTTATTGAAAAGAGAGATGAAAATGAATAAAATACTTGAAGTTTGGTAAAACTCTATCAGTATGCTACTTTAGTTACTTTCACCTGTGACCCCGAGGGAAGCATAGGCTGCCAACCAGCATTCGACAACCTAATCTGTCCTGGGCCTTCCTTTTTAGTCCCTTACTCAACTGTTGTTCGTTTTTCTCATATCTGTCTCCATTTCTCGGCGTAATGTGTTTCATGGCTTTCCTCTTTCTCGTTGGTTTTGAGAGAGAGCTTGTCACGTGAAGCAGTTGGGTACTTTTCGCAATGTTTGTCCGATCCACTTCCTGATTTCCTCCTCCACTGGAATCCGGTTTGTTCTTTCCCACGGTAGGTTAATGCTGATGGTGTCTGTCCAACGGATCTTAAGTTTTTTGCTCAGACAACTGTTAATCAACACTTGTATCTCGTGGATGATGGCATTCGTAGTTCTCAAAGTTTCAGCCCCATATCAGTATACTAGACTTTAATAAGAGTTTATTGATATGGTGTCTATACAGGTCGTAATGTAACTAATGGTCGGCTGGAATCTGCCTCATTTAACATAGTTAGTAGTGGTTTGATTTTTAATAATGTCAAGTTTAAAACAACGGTAATTCTAAAATTTAATAAGCACTTTGAATGCATTAGAAACTGCCGATATGATCTACAGTTTATAGATAATTAAAAGTTCACGTCATATATTGGGTTTGATTAGATAACAATCAAAAACCATGGAGCATTGTTAACCTCTTTTCTTTTACATAGAAATCATGGATTGATCAATGCTATACCACTTTTAGAAAAATGCCAGCACTGGACAGCCGTTTCCTCCTAGAATGGCAGTCATCAGTGGTGTACATCTATAACGGCTAAAAGGGATTACAGAATCAACAGCTTCCGGTATCTCTCGAGGAGAATGTTAGAACCTCTAGACAACTGAATAGGCATTCAGCGAGGTCTAACCTCAGTCCGTCCATTTTATTGGGTTGGTGACTGTCCCACACTCGACACCGGTGGACTTCATTGGTCACAGATTTATCTAAAACTTCAAGAATTGCCTCACGAAGCGAGTCACCAGTGAGTACATGATGGTTGTCATTATACGAGTGTGGAGAATATCGAGTTTTGATAAATGTTAGATCACCATTGGAAACCTGTTAGTAGTGAACAGTAGTTTCGTCCTAGTATGACACCCATCAGCAATGCACATCAATGACTCCGTAGGCGAGGATGCTTCCAGAAACACCAATCTTCACTAAGTCAGAGATTGTAGTTAGGATTTTCCAGTGTCTTGAATATGGGCGATTTTAAAATAACCAATGTCAAGAACATTATGTAATCATTATGTACTTACAAGTGATTGACTTTGTCAGCTAACTACTGGAGGCTTACTCTGGAGATTAGACGCTTACTGTGAGATCCAAATATCTTGGGTTCTGTCCCTGATACGATCAAGAATATATTCTATTGAAAAGTCCTTTGTTAGGACGAAACAGACTTCTAGTTCATCATGGTTTTCAATAGTTATTTTAACCACAGCCAATATCTGATATAAAACTCTAAATCCAACAATCTCCACAATACTATCTTATTAAAGAAATATGTATCTAAGACTAGTACTGAAGTTGAACCATACTAAAGACATGATTTGTGTGACAATTATCTTAATGATCTATACTATCTCTGTGATGACGTAACATATTTCTTTAGATCAGAATGAAAACACTATCAATCCTAAGTTCTTTTGGTTAAAGAAAAAGTTTAAGCTTTCAGTTAACTGTTCGAAAG